AAAAAAAAAAAAGAGTCTCGCTCTGTCATCCAGGCTGTAGTACAGCGGTGCAATCATAGCTCACTGTAACCTCAACTCTTAGGCTCAAGCAATCCTCCCACCTTGGCCTCCTAAAGTGCTGGGCTTACAGGTGTGATCCACCACACCTAGCCTATTTAAATTTTCTAGAAGCCACATTAAAAAAAAAAACTTTTAAAAGCAGGTGAAATTATTTTTAATAATTATTGTATTTAACCCAATATACCCAAAATATTGCCATTTAACACATAATACAAAAATTATGCTATTTTACATTCTTTTTTCATAGTAAGTCTTCAAAATACAATGTGCATTTTCATACATAAAGCACAACAATTCAGATAAGGCCCATGTCAAATATCTAATCACCACATTTGGCTAGTGGCTACCATACTGGAAAGCATTAAAAGAATGATTAACTAAACCCACAGATGTCCATATGCAGCTACTAGTTTTGGTACCATCTCCTTGACTGGCTTGCCATTGATTTTTGACCTAATTTTAAACTATATACACTACAGTTTCACATTACTGGCAACTCAATAAGGCAAAGTCTTCATTTTTTATGTTACATTTGCACAGTACTTAGTTTTCACATACAATTTCACACCTGATCCTCATTACAATCACGTGAATTCGCATGTTATATCAGTTTTCGAAATGAGGAGAGAACGTTCAGAGACAGAGACAACTATTGAGTGTTGGAACTGAGAAAAAAAAATTAAGTCTCCTGACCTCTGGTCAGATCCATTTACGCCCCAATAATACCACCTCCTTAATCAAAGTTGTACTTAACCTGTGCGACTGTTCTTTATTTCCTCCGGTGATTGTAAACTCCGTGAAAAAAAGGACTGTTTTTCCTGACCATTGAATTCCCAGTGCCCAGTAAGGTGTTTAAGAACTAGGCAATATTTACTGAATATTACTGAATGACGTTTCTGACTTTCTCATTTTTAGTAGGTTAAATGTAATTTACTTTTTTAAAGTAACTAACGTGAAGAGCCAAAGTACAACACCAAATTGGTAGGTTTTTAAAAGTTGAACTGCCAACATACTTCAAAAGAGACCGGGGGAAAAGGCTGGGAGCCGAGGCTAGAGTTCTAGTGCTGACTCTGCCATGAATTGGCTGTGGGCCCTCACGTAAATTTTTTTTTAACTTCTCTGGGCCAGAGTTCTTATCTGCCGAAAGGGAAGAGCAGGGCTATAACCTTCACGACGCCTTTCAGAGCTAGGGTTTTGGCATCAACTCGACGTGAGCCGGTTTCCTATTCCCTCACACCTTTCCTCCAGTCCCCTCCACAACGGCCGACTTAGTGAGAGAGGTATCCACGGGCCCTCTGGGTTCCCTATCCGCTTCCTAGGGGGCCCACAGGACACCCAGGTGCAAGGCGGGGCCCAGTGGCCGGAACCGCCATCTTTTCCCATTGGCCTGACCCCAACCGCCACCCGCGGGCACTGAGTGACGCGGACCTTACCTCTCCTCGCAGTCTTTGCATTTCACCTGCAACGGGACTAGTTGGTGGAACAGAACTTGGCTCATGTTGGCTCGCTGCCCCGGCTGGTGTGCGGAAAGGCCCAACAGGCCCGGCCCTCGAAACTAGCCAGAGAAACGTCCGGGTCCTGATAAAGTTTGAGTTTGGCGCTCGGCTTCTGCGGAGGAGGCGGGGAGAGAGAAACGAGAGGAAGACGTAAGAGACTTGGCCCTCGCCAGCCACCATCGGATTCTTCCGGTTCTGCGGAGGATACAGGGAAGGTGGTTGTGGTAGTTCCGGGCATTAACCTGGGTGGCGGGGGCTGAGACAGCCATGCTTGTTAAGGGAAGAGGAGCCGAAGGAAGCTGACAACTTTTCCTCTGGTTGCCGGATGCTCCACACCCGAAGCTAGTCCTGAGTTATGGCGACCTCCGCGACGTCGCCGCACGCGACTGGTTTTCCAGCTGAGGGTAGATGTGGTTACTATGTGGAAAAGAAGAAACGGTTCTGCAGGATGTTGGTGGCCGCAGGGAAAAGATTCTGTGGTGAACACGCTGGAGCCGCGGAGGTGTGGTATCGCCCTACTCTCTCCAGAGTCGGAAATAAGTATCCTGGTGCTGTCGGTGTTGGAACCCGGCCCCTCCCCTCTTTGACAGGTTTCTGCTTGTGTCCCCTGGATTCTCCAGCTTTCACTTTAATAAATCCAGTTTTGCCCTCCTTACGGAACGATGATGAGTTCTAGTAACGAGAATTGTTTTATTTTACTAAAGCTCCAGCAGTGACCCGTTTATCTTGATCTTAACTCATAGCAATGCTAGATATTAGTTTTACCCCAAGCTACCGCTCCGCCTTCCTGCTGGAAAGTGGTAGTTTAGAAAAAGTAGTGATTGAGGTCCCGAAGGTTTCACTAATTGTGTTGTAGTTGTTATTTCATGAAAGAGAAGCACTTCTTATGAATGCAGTTGGAAGAAACTTTCTTTTAAAAATTTAGACTTAACAAACAAAAGTTTAGAATTGAGGCCGGGCACGGTGGCTCATGACTGTAATCCCAGCACTTTGGGAGACCGAGGCGGGCGGATCACTTGACGTCAGGAATTTGAGACCAGCCTGGCCAACATGATGAAACCCTCTCAGTACTAAAAATACGAAAATCAGCCAGGCGTGGTGGCGCGCAGCCTGTAACCCTAGCTACTTAGGAGGCCGAGGCAGGAGAATCGCGTAAACCCATTAGGTGGAGATGGCAGTGAGCCGAGATCATGCCACTGCATTCCAGCCTAAGTGACAGCCAGACTGAGTAAAAAAAAATTGTTTTTTACAGTTTTTAAGAATGCAACTCTGCTGGAATGGGAAGGAAGGATTTTTAAATGTATATGAATTGACCTTTTACAATTGAGAACAAAGCATACAATTTTGATAATAGTTATGCATATAAATGTGCTATCTAACACTGTATATTTGTATATATGCATATTATTTTAGGATGGATGCGTACATATGTATGTATGACGGGAAAATAAAAACCAGACGAGCAAAATGCTGATAGAAAAAGAGCATGTCTAATAGAGCTATAGAGAATAAACCGAAGAGATCAGTATCTGATTCAGATCAACCTGTGAATGTCCAGTATTATTTGAATTATTTTATTTCTTAAGCAGTTTATTCATCTAGACAATATCCAGTGCAGATGAGTCCCCTGACCCCCTTCATCTGTCACTCTCCGTCATAGCAAAAGCCCACTTCCTATTTTGTTTTGACTAGCATTTACTCAAAGTGAAGCATACTGAAACAAGGACATTTTTGTTTTGGAGTATGGGAGACGTGACTTGTGGAAACTCTGAATTATGTCCATAGTTGTATTGACTGGTTTTGAGGAGACTGGCAAACATCTCTTGGTTAAAGAATGGGAGTTATGATAGGAGAAGGATTTAGACTCCATCTTATCTAAATATCTGGACGGTGAATACAAATGGTGATGATAGTAGAATATGAATAAATCCTTACAAACAGATCAGTATTCCTAGAGAGGAACGACGTGTTGTCATTAGTCCCTTGAAGAAAGACTGCAAAACATCAAGTGGAAACAGTTTTCATGACTACTATCTGGTTTTAAATTGTGGCTATCCTCCTGAATCTGTAATTTATAATATAACTGGATTTTGTGTTTCCATCTTTTTTTCTAAGTGTCGTATATAGTTGTGATGACACCACTCATTTTTACCCAGTGATTTTCGACTAGGACTAACTGATTTTGCCCCCAGGGGACACTTGGAGAAAAAAAGACATTTTGGTTGTCACAACTGAGGAGTATCACTGACATCTAATGGACAGAGACTAGAAATGCTGCTAAACAAAGCATGGGGCAGACCCCTGCTCCCCAAAAGACCAGCCCAAAATGTCATTAGTGCCAAGACTGAGAATCCCTGTTCTAAATTCAAATAAATTTTTAATGTCCTTTTTTCCCCTATGCTACAGTTAGTCTTTCAGGGGTTAGAATAGTCTTTTACATGGAGGTTAGAATTTAAAGTCAGCAAATAAGAATTAATATACAGTATTTTCTTTTCCTTTTATTGAATATGCAGTCCAAAAAACATTGAAAATTTCTTAGCTTTCCCATGAAATTCAGTGTGAATAGCTTCATGGACATGCTGAGAGGCACATTAGAACAGAAATAAATTTTTAAGATAATGATAGCAGACACTCAGTCACCGTTTACTCTGTGGCCAACACTGTGCTAGGCAGTTTTGTTTTGTTTTTTAACTATTAGCTCACTTAACTTGTTCAAACTTCAGAAGGTAAGACATATTATTGTTCTCATCTTTCGGATAAGGCAGTAAGCCCTAACCAAGGTCACAGGGCTTGTAGCTGGTAGATAGAGCTGGGTATAATACCTAGGCAGTCTGGCTGGCCTATGTCTTAACTGTTATACAGTCCCTATTTATACAGATTTATGTGGAATATTGGGTAGAATTGCCAATACTATCAATTTTCCTTTCTTTTTCTCAGTTCATATTGTCATGTGCCACATAATGACATTTCAGCCAACAACAGACCACACATATGATGGTGGTCTCATAAGGTTATAATACTATACTTTTACTGTACCTTTTATATGTTTAGATATGTTTAGATACACAAATATTTACATTGTGTTACATTTGCATACAGTATTTACTATGGTAACATGCTGTATAGGTTTGCAGCTTAGTAGCCATGGGCTGTACTTTATCGGCTAATTATGCAGTAGGCTATACTTTCTGGGTTTCTTCTCACAGTGATGTTCTCACAATGACAAAATCACCTAAAGATACATTTCTCAGAATGTATTCCCCCATCATTAAGTGAGCCACGACTAGTTAAATCTATGTAACTTAGAAATAAATAGGATGTAACTAATACTAAAAAGTTGCAAAGCCAGTAAAATATAGCACATGCCAAATGGTTAAAATACCATGTTTCATTGTTTTTAAGAAACTTTATTTTTACATTTTAACATTCTAAAATCAGGATACATCTTAAAATCCATATGTCAATGGGCAGTATTTTCCAAAAACATGGTAAGTATGTGAGGCAATGCATGTTAATTAGCTTGATTTAGCCATTCCACAATGTATACATATTTCAAAACATCATGTCGTATTAAAACCATATACATAAAATACTGTATATTTTTATTTCCATAAAAAAACACAATTACTTTTGTACCAACCTAATATGTGATAAATCTATGCAACTATTTGTCAATTAATTTAAAATGAAATAGGTAACTTTTTTCTTTCTTGGTTGTGCATAAAATAGTCATGCATATAGTAGTTGATGCTATCTTAGATTCCAAACACCATATGTAGGCCTTCTCTATAACCTATTTGAAGCTATAGACCCTTGTTTGTCCAAAGCAGTATTTGTTCATAATATATTTAAGCCAATTTACACTGGATATTTTTTGTTGTTAAAACCTTGGGACCTGATTTTGCCAACTTTTCATTATATCCTTTTAAGGTTTCCTTACCTTGTTTTGAGATTACAGAGACACTGAAATTATATCTGGTATCTGTAAGCAATAAACTTGATAATTTATTTAAATAATATATCCCTTAATTTATTAGGAAGAAGATGCTCGGAAAAGAATCCTGTGTCCTTTAGATCCAAAACAGTAAGTATGGATCAAATACGGGTTTATTTTGTGCTGGAAACAGTAATTGGTGCATATCTCATTTGAAATAATTTTCTATTTAAATTTAGCACAGTATATGAAGATCAACTAGCAAAGCATTTGAAAAAATGTAACTCAAGAGAGAAACCAAAACCTGTAAGTGTTTGATCGGTAAAATTGAGTGGTGAAATGTGGTATGTAATGCTTCAGTCGATGCTACACGTTGAATGGACTTGTTTCATAGCTGAGGAACCCAAACTCAGGAAGTATAAAATTTTTTTTTTAAGAGATAGGATCTCACTCTGTCACCCAGGTTGGAGTGCAGTGGTGTGATCATAGCTCACTGTAGCCTTGAACACCTGGGCTCAAGCAATCTTCCCACCTCATCCTCATGAGTAGCTGGGACTATAGATAAACAACACCACACTTGGCTAATTTTTTATTTTTTTGTAGAGACAGGTTTCTCACTGCATTGCCCAGGCTGGTCTTGAACTGCCGGTGTTAAGCAGTACTCTTGCGTTGACCTCCAGAGTACTAGCATTATATGCGTGAGCCCCAAATCCAGCCAGAAAATACAAATATTTTTAAATTGGATAGTAAGCAAACCTGCCTGACTTGTTCTGTAAATAAGTATTTGTTTATTATACTGTACAATATGGGCTGCCATGTGATCAAGGAGGTGACACATCATTTCTGTCTCCCAAGGGTGCTTGGTATTCAAGCTACCTTGAAAAGATAGTCCAGGTAAAAAGGTAATCAGTGCCTCTGCTTCTAAGACTTGTAGAAAATTGAGAGACTTAGGGGACGATGTCTTACAATAGCACCTCTCAGTTGCTTTGACAACAAAATGCTCCCATACATTTCCAGATGACTCCCAACTGAGAACCAGCGGGCCAGATTGCATAAACTTAGAAAGTGTTTTTACATTAAGATGGTAGGGAAGAAAAATGGTGACCCTCACTACCACGACCTACCTAGGTCTTAGCCCCTTTAATAGCGAGAATATTGGCATTGTTTGCAAGTATCTTCCTTACCTAAGTGACAGGTTTCAGTTAAAGCAAGCAACTGTAATACGTGTTCTGAGAAAAGTTTGAGAGAATAGATAAATTTATTAAAAATGGAAAACCCTTGGGTGAATTTCACTGCATACCAGCACACAGTGGCAAGGAAATGGAGAAAAACAGTGGTATGATGAGACAGGAGAAAGAAATGCAGAGCAATATTTTTCTGGTTCACTATGTAGAGTAGGACACTTGGAACACAGGTAAAGGCATATCACTGTTCTGTTTTACTTTGGGAAACTGGTAAGCAATTTTTTAAAAATTTTGTATACTAAATAAAAATTAATTGGTTATAAATTTCTCCAATATAAATAGTTTTCACATTTAAAAATCTAATCTACAACATAAGTCACCTGGAGCACTCTTGGCAACCATTTTGAACTAAGAGTATGTTAAATTCTAATACTTAACAACTAATTTTCTGTTATAGTTTTTTTTTCAGTTATCCATTAAAACATTGTAATTCTGCAGTCTTCACTCATTCCATTCAATCACCAGTTTCCATTTGCTGTCCGTATAGGTAAAGCTAGCAACACACTGTCCATCCATATACATAAAGCTAGCAACACACAATCTGTCCATCTAAGTAAAACTAGAAACACACAATCAGGATGTTACCCTTCTGCCTCCATGTAACAAAAGTCCATTTACTACACATAATGTCTCCAAGAGTTATTTTCACTTTTGAAAAAGGATTTGTAGAAACAGTACTGTTTCTTTCATCTAGATCTACACTGTTCAATATGGCAGCCACTAGCCACGTATGACTATTTAAATTTGAATTAAAACTAAATAAAATTAAAAATCTATTTCCTCAGTCACACTAACCATATTTAAGTGGCAACCATATTGGCCAGAGCAGATGTAGAACATTTCCATCATTGCAGAAAGTTCTGTTGGACAATGGTAATACAGATCCTTACCTAGAATCTGTATCTCTGAAGCCGGACTAGAAAGGTTTCATTGTTTGTTTGTTTATTTATTTGTGTTAGAGACAGAATCTTCCCATATTACCTAGGCTGGTCTCAAACTCCTGGGCTCAAGGAATCCTGCCTTGGCCTCCCAAAGTGCTAGGATTACAGGCTTGAGCCACTATGCCTGGCCTCATTATGCTAATTTAAATAACTAGTGTGACAGGACATTTATATTTTCAAGTTTTAATTAATATTTTAAAATAGAAGAAGTAAGACTTACTGTCATAATATCTATATCTTACCTGTTTTTGGTCATGCTGCATGTTTGATAAAGCAGCATTGTGTAGTTAGTACTTTGCTGTTTTTGCTTTAGCACTATAAGACAAAATTGCTATAGTTCTCAGTCTATGCTGTAAAAATTTTAATAAATGTTATAAATGAATTTCTTTATACTGTAAATGCTTATTCAGATAACCAGCTCACTAGGATATAATATCCATGAATACTTATTTTTGTCCCTTTTGTTATCTACTATGGTGAATGCCCAGTACCTAAAGCAAACTAGAGACTAGAGTAAGTACTAAATAATGATTTAATGAAGAAATGAATGGAGGAAGGGAGGATGGCAGGTAGAGAGCAGGGGATGAAGGGAAGAATCAGTATTTTAGTTTAATTTTTGTGAACTTCACATTATTAACAGTTCTTTTATGGTTTTGTTTTGTTTTTGTTAAGGATTTCTATATTCAAGATATTAATGCAGGCTTAAAAGATGAAACAGAAATACCTGAACAATTAGTAAGTACATTAATTTAATATTTAATTTTAAAAGGTATTTATAAGCTCTCTTCATGATGTGAATAAGCCATGTTCTAATTTTTATTTCAAATAAATCTGTTTTTAATTTAGAATGCATTTTCCTGTAGACTCAATATTATTAGTGATTGTTAGTTCCCAAAGTAGCTCATGCCCCATAACAAAACAAGCTACAATGTGGCCCCAAATCCCCTTTGATTCTTGAACCCTCCTGAGCCTAGACTTGTTCTTGACCTTGAGGAATTCAGGAGAATTAAAGTAGCACAGCAAAGACTGAGTCGAAGTTTAGCAGTTGGACAGTTCTGATGGCAGCTTAGGGAACAGGCTTGATAGAGAGAAGAACCTAAGCTGTTATGGGAATTGCCCAATTGGTAAACCTCTATTCAGTTTTTGTCATGCTACTTTAAAGCAGTTTTTGGCTACATTGTTTAGTTTTATTTTTGTATATAGGTTCCAATTTCTTCTCTATCTGAAGAGCAGTTGGAAAAGTTAATTAAGAAATTGAGAAAAGCAAGTGAAGGTAAGACTGCCTAAAGTTGCAAGTTTAATTATTTTAGAGTAATTAGGTGGTATATGAGTTAATACCATAATGGTTTAAAATGTGTTACTACTATTGTTCAGAATCCTATAATTTCATGATTGGCTGCTTAAGCTGTTGTGCTTATATTTGTCACAGGTTTGAATTCAACACTTAAAGATCGTATTATGTCCCATCCAGCATTACAAAGTGCACTTAATGACCCTAAAAATGGTGATTCTGCAACCAAGCACCTGAAACAGCAGGTATGTATAAGCTATAGTAACTACTAAACACGGCCTTTGTTCATTTGTTAAAAGTGTTTTAAATGTAATTATTAATAAGATTTTATTTTGTTTACCTTTCAGGGTGCCAAATATTTCCATTTCAAAAAATATGTATAAACATATATAAAAAGTTGAGGGTATGGATATGATTCTGAGTACCATATATTAAATATTTAAAAGCAAGAGAGAAAAATTTAAGTCAAATAGAAATTATCAGTATAAACATACTGCCTTACATAGAAATTACCTTGCTGTTTTCCCATTTGAGCCAAATGTGTTTGCTCTAGTTTATAAAATAATCTTGTGAAGTTTGCAGGCTTCTATTTTAGGTAACATTGAAAAATTAAAGTTACTTGGTCCAAGAAGATGCTTTGTTGAGTTTGGAGCGGGAAAGGGAAAATTATCTCATTGGGTTGATATTGCCTTAAAAGATGCTGAAAAAGTTCACTTCATCCTAGTAGAAAAGGTGACCACAAGATTCAAGGTAAGTGAAACCATTGCTCTATGTTAGTAACCAAACTTTGTTTTCATTTTTCATATTCAGGAAAAACGTGATAGAAACATTTCTTAATGAAAAGGCAAGGCAAGGCATTTTCTTTATCTTTTTGTTGTGGCTTTTTATTAGTTCTGATTGTATTGATGACTCAAATTGAGGGTGAATTTTTTTAATACACGTTTTGATAGTCCATTGATCTGAGTTCTTAAAATTATTTGCAGAGACAGGGAACTATCTAGAAAGAGCCAAGCTGAAGCTAGGAGTTAAAAGTCTTAGGTTCTACACCTATCTTTACCACTTGCCATTCATTCAATAAACAATTATTGAGCATACTGCCAGGCCCCACCCAGGCTGGAATACAGTGTTAGTATCAAGGCTTACTGCAGCCTTGACCTCCTGGGCTTATATAATCCTCCCATTTCAGCCTCATGAGTAGCTGGGACTACAGTCACGCACCACCATGCCCAGCTAATTTTTTAAAATTTTTCATGGAGACAGGGTTTCACTTTGTTGCCCAGGCTGGTCTCAAACTCCTGGGCTCAAGCCATCCCTCCCCCACTTCAGCCTCCCAAAAGTGCTGGGATTACAAGTGTGAGCCACTATGTCCAGCCACTCTATTACTTAGGTTTAGAAAAGACACCCAGGCAAATACATAAATGATTGTAGTAAAGTGTTAAAATACAAAAAAGTCTGCCCAGGGTACAGCGTGGTTTCAGAGAAGGGAGTGACAAGTTTTATTGCAGGGAAGAGATGGAGAATGACTAAGCAGAAAAGGTGATGCTTGAACTAAATCTTGAAAGGTGAATTAGTGTTTGCTAGGTTGAGAAGCATTGTAGGAAGCAAGAACAGTATAACTAAATGCCTGAAATAACAGGAAAATATGGAAACATTTATGTGTAATGGAAGTATATAGTGAAGCACAGTTCAGCAATGATGAGACTAGAGAGGATGGCTAGCCTACAGACAGGCTCATATTTTATGCTAAGGAAGGGTTTTGACTATGCTGCTGTCTGGTGGGGATCCACTGAAAAAAAGATTTAGTTCTTTCCTTTGAAGAAGCTTATAGACGTCTAGTGGAGTAGACATATATTTGTGTTCAGTATGCTAAGTGTGTTTTGATGATAGTTAAGTACCCAGTGCTATGGGAGCATGAAGATAGAACACCAACCTCGGTCTAGTGTGGGTCATAGAAATTTTCATAAAAGTAACAGTTGAGATGAGATTGAAATAATATGTAAGAGTTAGTAAAGTAGAAAGGAATTTTTCAAAGTTTATCCTAGCAGTACCATTAAAACTATATTAGAAGTTTGATACTTGAATAGAGACGTTAATAATAAAGATAATTTTTGTCCAACAATCCAATTAAGAAAAAGGCCAGAGCTAAAGCTATTGCATTGAGATGGAGAGGAGGGCAAGAGTATGAGGAATGTTAAGAGGTTGGAAACCAGAAGAGTTGGTGATTTATTAGTAATTGAATCTGAGAGAGAAAGAGTAATCTTGGGTAGCATTTTTATGGCTTAAGTGACTAAGTGGTGCTCTTTCCTGTGATAAGGAATAAAGTAGGAGTAAGAGGAAGGATGGTTTTGGAGACAGAAATAATGGTGAAGTAGAGCTTTCTAGTTCACATTTGAGTGTGTGTCTCATGCTCATTGGAGAAGCCTGAGCCACAAATGTAGATCAGTAGGTCATGGGTACACAGGTGTAGATTAGAATGGTTGTGATCTTTCAGGAGAGTAAGAAGAGGAGCAAGCCAAAATAGTATACTGTGAATGACAAAAATAAAGGAGGTAGCACACAATCTTAGATAAATCACTTAAGAGCTGTGAACTTGGCCGGGTGCGGTGGCTCAAGCCTGTAATCCCAGCACTTTGGGAGGCCGAGGCGGGTGGATCACCAGGTCAAGAGATCGAGACCATCCTGGTCAACATGGTGAAACCCCGTCTCTACTAAAAATACAAAAAATTAGCTGGGCATGGTGGTGCGTGCCTGTAAT